TTCACCATACCTCTGGATGAGCCATGAATGGGCAAAAAAATGAGTTTTGGGCAAACTGTAAGAAGCTTCTACAGAAGTTTTCACATTTTTGTTCTCAGTTGCCTCCCCAAATGGCTGGGAGATTGATTCTGAATGGCTGGGCAAATGTTTTTAGGGAAAGAAAAAAAAGATCTCCTTTTCTTTGGTGCTTATTCCCAAAACATAGAAGTATTTTCACTGATTCCACCCTGTGAGTGGAAAAAGGACTTTCCACAATCAGTAACTCTATAAAAAAAAACATGAAAAACAGGAGAAGCCACAATCAGCAAATCTGATCCTAAATTTCTAGAGTTTGCTTCCAGTGTTCTTGGTCTGATTTTGATTCTTTGTTTTGGATTGGTTCTTGATTTTGAACTGATAAGATCAGCACTTAGAAGACCGAAATTCAGTTTTGAATCACTCTTGATGTCAAATCCTACCCTGACCTTTTAACACCTCTGAATTTGAACACATCTTCTTGATCTCAGGGCCATAGCTGGATGGTGACATTCACACCCTAGAAATGTCCTAGCTGGCTTAGTTGGCTTCTCCATCCTACCTCCTCTTGGGTTTGTATTGCAGGTGGTGTTCTCTGAAGAAACAGATTCTCTGAGCCTTGCAGGGACTCTGGATGTGACTGGGAAAAACACACGAGGCACTTTTATGGTCAACAAATAGTTATGATTTTATTGAGCAGTAGAATACACAAGAAAAAAAACTCTTCTTTTTGAGTTACTGGAATATTTTAAGAATGGAACAATCAGGAGCTGTCCCTTGAGGAATGTGGGTTTGATGTTTTAACAGCTCATTTGAAGTGTTAGGGGTTTGTTAGGAAGGCTTCCTTAGGAGAGCACCTAAAAGAGGCCATGGCTAGGGCATGGCATCTTGTTACAGCAAAAAAAAAAGGACATCTTTGCCCTAATGAACACCTAAAATCCAGCCAGTGTGATCAGCCCCTGCAGCAACAAGTGATGAGGCCTGGAGACAAGTCCTGATGAGGCTCTGCTGCTGCTCTGAGCCTCCCCAGCCCTCTTTCAGTAAGAAGCTGGAATCTTAAGACTCCTCAAATCCATGTTGAAAGGAAAAAATGTCAATGCAAATCCCCTAATTCCCATGGTGCTGGAAACTTGGGGCTAGATTCCATCTCAGCTCACAAAGCTGGCACAGACCCACGGCCTTCAGTGGAGGTCAGTTTTGTTGCTGAAGGTCTTGGCTACAGCTTTAACCTACTTCAGCTGAGGGCAGGAGAGGCTCGTGCTCTGAAAAGGGCACTCTGGATGTCCCCCCTGGACTGTCCCTGCCCTCAGAGCTGGGGGGAGGACGAGCTCACTGCAAGATCCAGCTCGACACGAGCTGTCCAGTGACGTTCTCAGCCTCTGCTGGCTCCTTTCTTGCCTCGTGTCTCCAGCACAAGCTGGTGCCCAGGAGATACAAGTGATGAACAGAGAATATTCCTGTTTCACCTGATTTCAAGTGGCTTTTTCTTCCTTCTCTCCAACCCCTTGGTGTTTTTCCTCCCACTCTCATGCATCACTCCCCAGCCTGTTCCCTTCCCACATCTCTCCCATCCCTACTCTGTGCCCATCTCTCCCCTGCCCAGGGGCTCCTCTTGCCTTTGCAGCAGTTGATGTCTTTCTCTGCCAACTCTCTTGCCCCACTGTGATCCTCCAGCTTCTACCCCAGCCCCTGCTAAGAAGGGACTGAAGAGCAGCAGAGCTGCTCCCTTCCTGCCTGTTGTTTCATCATCTGCCCTGAAACCAACCCTGTGTTTCCAGCTCGTGGCCCCTCTCCGTTGCCAGGCGCTCGTGGTTGAGCTGGGTTAAATAAACCCTGGCAGGCTCCCAGCATGTTTTACAGGTTATTTTTCTGTGGGTTTGTGTCTCATTACAGTGCCACCCAATGACCTTTATCAAGAGAGAAAGCATAGGAGGTTTCATCTCATTATTTTCAGGGAAATGAGTTAGTTCCAGTCCTCAGGAAGCTGGGAAAAAAACCTGCTGAGATTTCTCTGTTTGAAGAATTTGATTGTAACCTGCAAAGGGCCCCTGGTCTGTGATCAAGAGCTGCCCAGGTTGGAGGCAAAGCCAAGCAAGGTCACGTGAACTTTCTATCCACCTCAGTCTGCAGTTTCACTGAAGCTTTCTGGAACAGCTCCTGTAAACCTGATCACACTTTGGTGCTGCTTTAAATCCTAACCAAGCAGATTGCTCCAGACCTCCAGGGATCTGTCTGAGCCACTCCAGCTGAAGGATGGACAACTGACACATCAAGGCACGTCTGAAGCTGCTTAAATTCCAAGATAGAGGGCTGGGATTTTTTGGAAGGAGGGGAGGAAACTAGATAAGCCAGTGTCTGTAAAATTACTCAGCACCTCACATCTTCACCACAAGAACCTTTTGCACGAGTACAATGGATAAGAAAAATACACAGCTAGTTACAAAGAGCTGGTGACTTGTTCTTTGCAGAAGAGCCCTTTCTCTCCTGCAATAGCAAAGACAAGGCAATGACACTTAGAAATCAGTTCTGACTATAACATTGCACACTTTTTATTTCTGAGTTTGAGCCACTGAACATTTTTTTTCACGAATAGGGAATTTTTTTTTGAGCATCTGAAAGAAGCAAGTAGCTGGGGAAGAGTTGATGTCAAGGTCTCTCCTGTCACCCTCTTTCTTCCCTTTGGTATCTTGTGCTAAGTAAGGGGAAAAAAAACCTGCCCATTTGCCTAAGAGCTGGGTTTTTTTCTTCTGCAGATTGTTTCAAGTTCTTTCAGCCATCAGCAGTAGTAGCTGCTGTCTCCTGGGCACTGTTAGGCCAGGCTGTTGTGCTGGCAGTACTTTGGCTTTTTAGCAGCAAACCCAGTCCTTCCTGTAGGCTGGTTGGTGGTGAACCAGGACTATTTATCTAGGCTGAGCTACCAGTTTCCTGCAGTTCCTCAAGGTGTCAAAAAGCCAAGTTTCCCAAGAAGAAAAGTAAGAGAGAGAGAGAAGAGGGGACAGCTCTAAGGAGGAAGTTCTGTGCTGAGAAAATATTTGCTCTGGAAAAAAAAAGGACTGGAGGGGTGAAAAAATATGAACTGTCAGAAGAAGAGATGGATGTTTAAAAGATTGCACTGCTGCTGTGTGCTCGGGGGCATCCCTGCTGGAGCAGAGGCAGTGAGATACATTCAAGGAGTCAGAAAGAGATGCAGGTACTAAGGCAGTGTTAGCCCCAATCCCAGGCTAGCTCCTTCCTACCTGTCTGGGAAATGACAGCATCCAGAAGGACATTCTGGTTTATGCTAGGAGAAATCAACTCTAAAATTTGCTCCAAGTCTGAGTACCAGACACCCCAGAGACAGTTTTTCCTCCTAACCATCCCTGGTGATGTTCAGGTATTGCCAGCTTAGGGGTGGGCAAGAGCACCAGAATAAGCTCTTTACAAACCTTAAGTTATGAGCTCAAGTTGCAGTCCTGCCTATGAATTTCTCATCTGGAAGATATCTCAAGATATCTCATCCTTTTCTCCAAGGACATGGGGAATCCATTTATGTTTGGAAGTGGCTGGCCACAGTCCTGGAGTTGTCTCTGGTCATGAAGCACCTTGCTGGTTTGGTGGGACTCAGCCTTCAAGGACTGGATAGAGAAGATCCAGTTTCAGAGCTGAGAAAAGCCAGCCAAGTCCTTGCCTAACAACAGGAGTAGCTCTGTTGGGTGTTCTGAGTGAGCTGTTGGAACTGGAGGCTGCTTTTCAAACCGTGGACCTCTCTCAGAAATGAAAGGGTTTGTCTCTTCTGTTGTGTTACAACTGAATCTCAAGCCCTTGATTGATCTGGGATCAGGTTGCCTGTTAGAGAAGCAGCTGGAAGCTGTTCAACCCTGCCTCCTGATAAGCCATGAACAGATTTTGGTCCTCAGGTGTTGGGCAGAAGATAGAGTCTTAGACAACTTGTACGTGGGTTCTCCAGAAGGTTTGATGCCACCAGCACAGCCTGGTCAGTTCTGTTTTCAGCTGCCTTCCTGAAAAGGGCTGTGAGGGCCAGGTTGGGTGGTTGGGCAGCTCCTCCTTTTGCAGGGACAACTCCTTTCCTTTGCTGATTGTTCCCAGGAGAAGGGGAAAGGGTGCCAGTGCTCCTGGCCTCTGCCCAGCAGGCTCAGGCTTGGTTTGTGCCAGGCCTGTGCAGGCAGGCAGGACCCTGGGTTTCTGCAGCACACTGCCCAACCACTCTGCTGAGAAGACTGTTTGTGGTTACACTGGGGCACTCAGAGGCAAGTCGTTTTGCTTATGTAATTTATTTGGGGGTTTATGTAATTTACTGACAACCACAATGCTGTGCCAGACCTGTTGCTCATCAAAGAGAAAAGAGACCCTCTCCTAAAGGAGACTTTTTGCTCTCTAAGCCCAAAGATCTTCCCCAGACCCCTGGAAATAGGGGCTGGTCAGAAAAAAATACACCTATATTAACCCCACCGAGAGGTGGTGAGATGTTAGTTGTGCAGGATCAGTATCACAGCTTTTACTAAAGTGATGCTATGATTAGAGGAAGAAAGGAGGGAGGGGAAGGGGGGAGCCCAAGGCAGCAGGGCTCCAGGCAGGGCTGGAAGCCCCACCATGGGTCAGCAGCTGCTGGGGCCCATGGGTGTGGTTCCTGCAAGAAGGGCTGATGGGCATCACAGCCCCCCGAGCTCCTGGTGGTGATGGGCAACATGGATAATGTTATTTTTTTCCTTGATAATGACCTGGAAGTCTGTGCTGAGCTCCTGTCTGACACAAACATGGGAAAGAGAGAAGAGAAATAAGCTGAGTGGGGTGTCCTTATGTTCCAGATGTTTGCTGAAGCCTAACAACACTTAAGAGTCTGTGAATCTGGGTAGAATTAGAAGGGATCTTGTGAAAAGAAGGTCAAGGTTGGATATTAATGCCCCTTTTTTAAAAACTCCTCTCCATCCTCTCCCAAGCTCCTGTTTTGTGTGACACTGGCCTCGCTTTTCAGCTTCTGAAGTCCAATTTCAATCTGCCTGGATTAAACAGGTTGCCTGAGCCCACACCACTAACAGTGGACAAGACAGGAATCTCCCCTCCAACTGTGCCCATAGATACAGACTGAAATCTGAGAGTAAAAGACACGTGTGTGATTTTTTTCCCCCCCCTGGGTACCCTCCCCATCCCTCCCAGTCACTCACACCTCCCCATTCAGATTCATGTTCACTTATGGAGGTAAGCATCCAGCCACAGATCTCCAGATTTCTTTAGGGACCTGTGGAAAGAAAATGAAGAGATGTTTCTTTGGCATGTGAGTCTTCCTTCTGTCTTTTTTTTTGTATCCCCTACAGGGAAGCTTGTTGGTGAATTTGAACAGGAACCCTTTAGGACACTGAAGTCTTTCCCAGTATAGCAGATACAGCAAGAGCCAGAGTGAGGAGGAACTTCACCTCCTGCCCACTGTGTTACCTGTAGTCCTCTGGCCCTGAATGAAGAGCAGAGCAGAACCACCTGGACTCATCACATTGGACCTCTGAAGGTGTTTCCCCATTTCCCCCAGGAATTCTTCTGTAGAATTTCCCATTTTCAGCAGCTCCACAAATATTAGGTGACAGATCCGAGCTGGTTTGGGCCCCAAATCCTCTGACAAAGAGTCAGGAGGCTGGAAATGTAGCTTTAAATAGTTTATATTTTAAATAGTTTATATAAATGTAGCTTTTAATAGCTGATCCTTCTATTGGGAGGGCAAATAATGGCTGGGATGGTCTCTGAGAAGCTGTGCAGGGAGATGGGCTCTGTATGGTGGGGTGCTGAGCATCAGCTCCCTGGGTCTCAGCATTGCAATGTATCTCCCTGTGCTTTAAAGGGGACTAAAAGAGGCTCTGAAACAGTTTTCAGCCCTTCTGCATGTTGGGACCAATCTGCTTTAACTTGCATCAGCTTAGAATGGTTTGTGAGTGGAGATCCATGGGCTGTAGAATACTTTCTCAAGTTCCCTGTCATGAATTATTCCTTTTGGAGTAACTGAGATGGAAATGTTAGCCCAGAGTCTGCCTGACAAGGACTATTAGGCTGGGCTTCAACTGTGCCTGTAGGGAATAGCCTTTTGCTGCTGGCAGGGCTCAGATGGGCACCAGCACGGGCTGTAACCTGACTCAGCCCCCTTTGATTCATCTCAGTTTGCAGCCTGGAGACACGCTGCCAGCTCCTGAAAGCAAGAATCAGCAGCTGTCAGGAGAGCATTAAAAAGGTATTATAAAAAAAAAGTCCCTAGAACCTCTCTAGACAGTTGTTTCTTCCACTATGATGTAGGGAAGGAGTTTCCCATCTGTTGTCACCTGCCACCTGGCATTAGAGTCAGTGGAGCTGCTGTTGGTCAACATTGCCCCTGGTGTTCCTTGGACTGTGATATGAAGATTTTTAACCTAGTGACCCCAGGTTACAACATATCAATGGGGTATTTCAGAAGGGTCTAGAGTGTCCTGGATTTTTCATGGAACAATGAATTGCAAGTTGTAGGTGAGACTAGAAGGACCTAAAGTAAAAGAGGGGAGATTCAGGCTAGACATAAGGGAGGCATTTACATTGAGATAGTGAGCCCCTGGCCCAGGTTGCCCACACAGGTGGTCACTGCCCCATCCCTGGAAATATTCCAGGTCAGATTGGCCAGGAGCTCTGAGCACCCTGCTCTAGCTGCAGATGTCCCTGCTCCCTGCAGGGATGGTGGTTTAGATGACCCTGAAAGGTCCCTTCCCACCCAAACCAGCCTGTGATCCTATGCCCTTACCCAACGATGTCTACGAATGCTTTTCCAAGAGGCTTCTCTTCATACTGGACTCCATACTTGGCACATAAGGACTTCACCAAAGGTTTCACCTTCCAGAAATTGTGCCGTGGCATTGTTGGGAACAGACTTGAATAGAGAAAGAGAAAACAAACCTGAACAAACTCAAGAGACCAACCTCAAGGGATGAGCATCTGTCTGCCTCCTCCTAAGGGCTAATTATTGATGCCTTCTCCTCAAGCTGTATAAGCAAATAAAAAAAAGAGAGACTTGCTTTACAGTCCTCTCTTTCAAGAAGGCTTGTGAAGACTGAATGAATTGATTCTCCTGCCACTCTGCCATGCCTCAAAACAAAGCTGTGCTCAAGCAAGACAATGAAAGTCAGTTCATGAAAGAGAGGACACTACAAGTGCAGCATGAGGGAAGCAGGAGTGAGGAGACAGCCTCAGTCTGCTGAGATGGCTGCCCATTGCCTTTGGCCAACACTCATTGTTCCTTGTCAAGCTGAATTCTCTGTGACCCCTTTTCCCCACCTCTGGAAGCTCATGAAACAGAGAAGCAGGTAAGGAAGAATTTGGGATCACCTTGCCCTGTGCTGTTCAATGGAGATTTCCTAAGCTGACTCTCAAACTAGACAGCTTCCCCCCAAAAACTGTCCCTCTGAGATGTGTTAACACTGGAAACAGCCTGTCCATGAGGCCCTGGTCTGAATATCTCTCCTGGAACCTGGTAGCCAGCAGTGCCACAAAGCTGTCACACACTAGACAACACCAAAGAGCTTTGGGGGAGAGGAAATTTCTGAAAGACATACTCAAGTTCAAGTAATTAGCTTAGGATTGGAGACCACAGCCTTTGTAATTGGTAGATATGTACCACTGACTCCTAATTAAACCCCAAACTAGAACTGTAGGAGTGAAAGCTGAAGTATTTGGTAGCAAGAAAGATGCCATGCCTGTAGTAGAAGCAGCCTGTGACTCCAAATAGTAAGGGACTCTCTTTCCTTGGCATACAGTAGTGCTCCCAAGATCCTGCCTCATCCCACAAGTGTGCAAACTGTCCCAACCTGGTCATGGCCAAGTGATTCTGGGTCCATACTCACTGGTGTTCAATTTGAAAATTCAGGTGCCCGGTGAACCAGTCGTTGAAAAAGGACTGCTGGATATTGCAGGTGGCTGCCATCTGTGGGGGCAAGAAAGGAGCTGGGAAGGTTAGTGAAGACTCACCCTAAAATCAAAACGAAGCTCCCCTGGCCTGTGCCATGGGCTGAGATGTGTTAAAAAAGGTTAACCAAGGTGGAAAAGGAGGGAGGAAAAGGCATGGACCTAGAAAGCCCACGCACCCCATCCCATCTGGTTAGCACCCAGCTGGCCTTCAGTGCAAGGTCTGAATATTCTGGAAGTATTTCTCAGCTACTCTTGCAACTGATGGCTGTACAATTAGGTAGACTTCCCTAAAAGCCTCTTAAGCTGTGATTTTGACATAGTAACCCTAGGAGATGTACTCTCCTCATGCAGGCAAGATGCATCCTAAAACCACCTCAGTACCCAGGATACTTATCTCCCTCTGTCCTATACCCATTTTCTCTCCCCTCTTCCCATCTCTCTTTCTCTCTCTTATAATCCCCCTCCCAAAATCTCCCTCAACCTCTCTCTGTCCACAGATTGCAGTTGCATAAAGTGCTTAAGCAAAAGCTGAAGGTGAACATCTAAACTCTTGTGACTTCAGGGAATCTAGTCACTTATTTTCTGTGCTTTAATGCTCTTAGTACAAGGGAGGGAAACTGTCAGGCTTTGAAAGCTCACCCTCAAGGCCCCATTAACAACTACAAGTACTAATTATATTAATTAGCACACAAGATGATTTCTTCTCTCAGCTCAGTTATACCCAATTCATATGACCAGTGTCACAGTTGCTCTCATCATCCTCTAGGTCTGAACAGGACTTTGGACCCCTGTAAGTCAGAGGTTTCCTTTCAGCAGGGTGGATTTATCTAGCCAGGCATTAAAATGATGTAGAAAGCAGCTGGTTTCCCTTTCAATCCTTATTGCTGAAATATAAACTTTAGAAATATATTGAACATTGAAGCCCCTCTTTCCATTCACCAGGGTTCTTCTGTTTGCTCCTATGCACCCAAACACCCCCCACAGGGAAGCCAAATCGTGTTTCTTGAGCCTGAGACTGCCTCAGATCTGAAGGAACCTTTTGATTATCAAATTAATTACAGAAGTTTGGATTGCCATGTCTTGACTCAGTATTTCTGGCTCTGGGGAGATCTTTATGGGAGGGGAGGCATGGACAGACCATATACTAGTACCCTGGGGACAGCAGTAACCCCTCTGCTCTTTGGGTGAATTTCTAAGCCATTTTGGGGTGATTCAGGGGTATTCTTTTCCCCTCCCAGTTACCTGAGAGCTAAGCCAGTCTCTGTGCTTCTCACTATCAATTTCCATTGGAATGTGATTCATCTGGGTGACCCACACAAACCAGTGACTCTCCAGAAACCTTCAAAAACAAAGAGGCAGAAAGCAGGACAATTTATAGTGCAGCTTGGGGTACGAGGTCACCAGAGTGGGGCTTCCAGGGAGCAGCAGGAGATGCAACCTGGAGGTTGCAGTTTACTGAGGTGATGAAGTAAATCCTTCTCTTTCTATAGAAACCAGAGAGAATCATTTCTGTGATGAATTTCTCTTCCCTGTAACCTACAGAACTTCTGGGACTATCACAGTTAAGAGCAGGACATCCCCTTGGGCTACCCCTCTCCTTCTTCCTCAGACAGGGACTGATCTCTCATGCTACTTTTGTCTTTTGCTAAATAATCTCCAAGCTGAGAGCAAGGTGTCTGTTGACAAGGTAGTTGTCCAGAAGCATCCTTGTTCTAGTCTTTAGGATTGTTTTCTGAAAGAGCAGATGGTGTGAATTTGCAATTTCACTTTTCTACTTGCCCTTTTATCTTAATCAAGATATGGAAGATTTGGAAATAACGGGTTGGTTCTCCTAAGTTTTTTCAGCTTGATTTCAGACCAAAAAGGTTGAGCAAGTGCTTACTCAAACCTTCTGAATTTCCTCTTTTCCTTAGGTCTGAAGTGTTTTGAAATGATGAAAAGTGAAGCCATGAACACTGAGTTTTGTGGAGGCAAAAATCCTAACATGGTGAAGGGTTCTGTACATCTGTTATTTCCTTTTACTCAGAAAAAGGAAGTTATTTTAGAAAATGGTTTTCACTGTGGTGAAATGTTTTCCTAAAACTAATGCTGACTGTGGGACTTAAAGTTATCCTTTGATACCAGCCAATGTACAGGCCATGGAATCTTCCACACTAGGAGAAGTGGTGAGCAGTTCACTTACAGGGAAGCGTGTAGAGTGCTCAGGAGGGCTCAGGAATTACCAGGTGGCCTGAGGCACTCTGGAAAGGTCCAGCCTTGACCAAAGTGGGAAAAAAATGCATAAATATATTGGGATGGGGTAGTGTGTGAGACCAGGGAATGAGGGAAGAAAGGAGAATCCTGGCTGGACCATCACAGGGGCTGGGGAAGATGCAGGCAGGTGAAGATGCTGAGCACCAGCCCCAGCTCTGCTGCAGGGAGGCAGAGCTGGGAGATGATAAGAGGGAAGTGAAGCAGTGTGAATAGCCAAGATAACACACAGGGAGGTTAAACAGGGAAGGCCTGTGGGGCACAGCAGAGCGGAGACAGCTCATCTGGCACCGGAGGGAGGGGAGAGCAGCAGGGATGCCCTTTGTCTCCTACCTGACAAAAGTGAGGAGAAACAGGGATCCCAGAAGGCCATAGAATGGGATATATGTGATGAAGTAGCGTATGTAGTAGCTGATGGCCCAGGCCAGGTCCTAGGGGAAGAGAGAAGACATCAGGCATCACCTTCCCTCTCACAGAGCGTGTCCTCGCTGGCGGCGATGGGGACATCACAGTGTGATCCCTGCCCACTGCCCACCCTCCCTACTCCAGTGTGGTTCCCTAGGAGCCAGCCAGACCCCAAAAAAGATGGAGGGAATGTTTCACTCACCGCCCAGAACCTGCGCCTGATCATGGTGGAGATGATTTGGATTTGGAAATACACAGGGATGAGCAGAGGTGGGAAGACTGCAAAGCAAAGGGAAAGGTTTTGGCATCAGAGGGGTGGAAAGGTGACACGGGTCAGCCAGAGGTTCAGGACTGGTTCTAGGGAAAGCCTGCCTAGCAGTGGTGAGGTGCTGGTGGTGGGTTGTGGTTGCCTTTCTGTGAAGAAAGGAGGTTCTGCTTCATCTTGACTTAGCAAGATGACTTCTCAAGACTTGTTCATCTTGATTTATCAAAGAGAATGGACTGGCAACATGCCTTTTTTCCATGAAGGAAAAAAAATCCATGGAGCCTCTTAGTGGAGGTCGTTTCCCAGTCTTGGTTTTTGTCTTGCTTTACATGAGCATGCTGGCAATGTGTAAGATGCTTGGATATCCCTGAGAACTGATTTTGGGACCTGCCCAGGGGGTGGTGGTCATGGAGAAGGGAAGGCTGAGCTGACACTTAGGGAGTTAACACAGCAGGGGCTGGAAAGGTCAACTGAAATTCAGGGAAAGGGGACGAGCGTGGGGCAGGAC